AATATCACATCGGTGTGATATCTTCGTATGTCATGCATTCCTCGGCATTCCTGGCCTACGAAGATATCCAACCAAAAGCAAGCCGTGCGCCTAAACTGCTGCAGCGGACGATCCTGCCCAACCCCCACCGCCGCCATGACGTTGGCAGCTATGACCAACGCACCGAACACCAACACGGCCACACAACGTGGCAGCGATATCTCCCGCACGCCTCTGCACGTATTGTACGGCATACCTGCGCTATCCTGCGTACTTGTGCGGCGAACGTCAACGTCTAAGCAGTCGTATGCAGCGTACACCACATGCTCACTATCGTCTGCGAAGTACTCGTCATACTTCGGTAACTGCTGCATGACAGCGACGACTTCTTCGGCACCGCCAGCTTCTCACACAATACTCATCGTGTGGTGTACACTGCTTACAAGATTGCCGCAGTCAACAGTCAACACCATCCACTGCCTGGTGTACTCACGCGTCATGACGACAACGATGCTCCCCTTCGTGCATCCCTTGCACTTGTGAGTTCGACTCCCACACGGGTGTAGTACACGCACGGACCGTCGTACTCCTGCCGCCCAGCCGGGGGACTACGGCCCCCTCGCGGGCGACGCAGCCCGCGTCTAGTCCGGGTGGCCGCTTGGTAAGTTGCCGTTTTTCGCCTTTTTGTCCGCGGTTTCGGAGCCGCGCCTTTTAGGCTAGCTCCGTCGCCGCGTGGGAGCCGCGGTCGCCGGTTCGCGCCCCGCCGTCGCCGCTTTTTTTCGTTTTTTCGCACCGCACCGCACCGCGCCGCACCACACCGCATCGCACCGCACCAAACCTGAGGCCGCGCAATGCGCTCCGGAACATCGCCGTGCACCGCTTCGTGGTGCGCGCTAGCTCTATCGCTGTGTGGGAGCCGTAGTCGCCGGCTCGATCCCGGCGCCCGCGCGTCTTACTTTTGTTTTTTTCGTTCGGGAGCGCTAGCTTCGTCGCCGCGGGAGTCCAGCTCGCCGGTCGCTTCCCGTCGTCATCGCTTTTTTTTTCTTTTCGTTATGCAGCGCACCGCACCGCACTGCACCGCACTGCGCAATTTGACATGCGTCGACTCGCGCGTTTTAACGGGCAACCCACCACACGACTCGACATGCAATTAAACGTGCAATTCAACGCGCAATTCAATGCGCACCGAAGCATGCAATTGAACGCGCAATTCGATGCGCAATTCGATGCACAATTCAACGCGCAATTAAACGCGCACCGAACCGCACAATTAAATGCACAAATCGATGCGCGGTTCAACGCACAATTCAGCGATGGACGAGGAGTGCGCCGAAGTGTGCATCTGCGGTTGTCCAACGTTGTCCGTGTAAACTGTACGGCCTTTTGTGAAATGAACTTGTCCACGGCCGTCAGCTCGCTACATTAGGATTGCATCGCAGACATACACTTTTACTTTATTTCTCTTCATGTACGGTACTACGGCTCAGAACTGAATCACACGAAAGTCGGCGGCCGTAAACTAGTCGGTGGCACCGCCAACGTAAGTTGACGGCCTTTTGCGAAGCTGGGCTCTTTGCAGGAGTCGGTTCGCTACTGTAGGATTGTATTGCATATATATCGCACCCGGATTACTTATCTCCACACGCGGTATTGCGACCGGAAACAGCTTCCGTCAGTTATGGTGGACCGACGGAATGATTCACCCCAGCGGACTGGGACACGCAGTCATGAGCGCCTGGGTACACTGGGCGGCGGGTTTCGTTTTAGAGGGACAAGAGCGTCGAACACGCACCTCAGCGTAGATGCAGCCCGGATGCGGGATGCTCATCTGGATCCGGGGCGCAGGGCTGCAGAACAACACCGGGACATGGCTGCACGAGCTGCTGCCCATCAAGACCCGGACTACAGGGCTGCGGAGCAGCAACAGAACATCACTGCACAAGCTGCTGCCCGTCAAAACCCGGCTCGGCGGCACCGTATTCATGCTGCAGAAACAGCAGCGGCAAGACAACAGCCCATCTGGCCAGCAGCTTACCCGCTTCACAACCATGTTCGGCGGCATTCAACCCACTGAAGCACGTGTTGCAGATCTAGTAGACGCACTCAACCAACGCGTCATCACGGATTTGTCCGATCTCACAGACCTCGAACCCCGTGTCGTGCTGCAACGGAACGAACCCAGGCACGCGCTCAACACACGCCTCCTGATGCTCCAGGCGCGCCGCAAAGGAGCGCGTTTGGTCAGCTGGAACGCGGACCACGTCCCGGTTAGGCAACATGGTGCAACCCAACAACAGCCACTCTCCCACATCGAAAAGGCTGTCGCAATGCGAGTAAAAGACGCCACCTTCGACCACACCACCGCCGACACTTGGTACTACGAGGGTGCACGCTACACCCTACTCGACACCACTGCTGCCGACGCCGGCGCGTGCCACAACAATGAAGTCGAGGCGTGTGGCCTGCTTACCGACAGCCGTGAACCGCCCGATGACGGCCGCGGCCCGTACTGGCGCCTCCACTACCTACCTGCAGCTGTCTTGGTCCGTCCCATTAAAGGGCACGCGCCCAAAGCGATACTAGCAGACTTAGCGGACTTCGCAACCAAAGGTGCTGCCTTCGCCATCGTACCACGGCCCTCACCGGCAGCAAACATCACCGTGCCAGCCGCCAACACCGGCACCACCACCAAAAATGTACGTCGAGTCAATGTACCACTTGGTGACTACTACGCCGTCACCGACTACTTCGTACAGGGCCGTAGCTTCAAGGAAGAATGCTGGGTCGCGGACCTTTCCGTCCCGCCCAGTGGCCTCAAGCGTGCAACCACGTACGTGTTGCTCACCCGCTACAAGACACTCGACCACATCCGCCTCCTCCGCCCGCTCTCTACCACACCCGACGAACGAACACGAGTCGTCAAACAGTTCATGGCAGCAACCAAGCTGGACCCCGACCTGGCGGCCGAACTCCGCCTCCTCGATCGCCGTGCAACCGAAACCCGTGAACGCTATACGACCGAGTACAAACACGCCAGAAACCTAGAGGAACGTTGGACCTCCGCAGCCAACACTACCTGACACGTCCAACAGTTCGTCTGCCTCGCCACTGGATGGCGTTAAATGCCAGCGTTGCACGGCTCTCTAGCCGTCCGACGACACGCCTGCGCGGCTGGGTGCATCCCTTGCACTTCTGGGTTCGACTCCCACACGGGTGTAGTAGTATACGCACGGACCGTCGTACTCGTGCCGCCCAGCCGGGGGACTACGGCCCCCTCGCGGGCGAAGCAGCCCGCGTCTAGTCGTCGGGACGGAGACCTTACCCCAGCTTAGCGTCCGTCGTCGTAGTCCCGACGTTAGACGGACGACGTTTAGTCGTTCCGTCGTCGGGACGGAGACCTTAGGCTGCGGGGGGCGTCCGCGTGTCTGTTCGGAATTTCTGGAGAGTCGCCCTTTTTCGCAGTGTCGTGCGCGGTTTCGGAGCTGCGTCGTTTTCGCTAGCTCCGTCGCCGTGTGGGAGCCGCGGTCGCCGGTTCGCGTCCCGTCGTCGTCGCTTTTTTTCGTTTTTTCGCACCGCACCGCACCGTGCCGCATCACACCGCATCGCACCGCACCACACCTGGGCCCGCGCAATGCGCTCCGGAGCATCGCCGCGCACCGCTTCGTGGTGCGCGCTGGCTCTGTCGCTGTGTGGGAGCCGCGGTCGCCGGCTCGATCCCGGCGCCCGCGCGTCTTTCTTTTGTGTTTTTCGTTCGGGAGCGCTAGCTTCGTCGCCGCGGGAGTCCACCTCGCCGGTCGCTTCCCGTCGTTGTCGTTTTTTTTCTTTTCGTTATGCAGCGCACCGCACCGCAAGCCGTACGTCTTCCTGCGTTCGTGCGCTACGGACTGCACCGCACCGTGCCACACCTGGGCCCGTGCAACGCGCCCCGGAGCATGGCCGTGCGCCGCTTCGTCGGGCGCGCTAGCTCCGACGTCGAGTGGGAGCCCGGGTCGCCGGTTCGACCCCGGCGCCGGCGCGTCGTTGTGTCATTTTTTTTACGTTTACGTTGCGGCTCGCTGGCTTCGTCGCCCGGCGCCCGCTTTCTTATATTTTTCGTTCGGGAGCGCTGCCTTCGTCGTCGCGTGGTTCGTTTTTCGCGTCGTCGTCGTTTATTGTTCATTTCTTTTCGTTCTGGACCGTGCACTGCACACCGCGTCGTCCCGGACTGCACTGCTCCACGCCTGGGCCCGCGCAATGCGCCCCTGAGCATCGCCGTGCACCGCTTCGGTGTCCGCGCCGCACCGCACTGCACCGCGTTGCACCGCACCGCGCCACACTGCGTGTGGCAGTGCATCGCACTGCACCACACCTGGACCCGCGCAATGCGCCCCGGAGCATCGGCGCTCACCGCTTGTGGTGTGCGCTAGCTCCGACACTGAATGGGAACCGCGGTCGCAGGCTCGATCCCGGTGCGTGAGTTTTTCTTTGTTTTTTCGTTCGGGACCGCTTACCGCACCGCACCGCACTGCACCGTACCGCACCACGATTTAACACGCAAATCGCAAAACATTGGCTGCACCACACTGCGCAATTTGACATGCGCCGACTCGCGCATTTTAACGTGCAACCCACCACACAACTCGACGTGCAATTAAACATGCAATTCAACGCGCAATTTGACGCGCACTGAACTGTGCAGTGCTTGTCCAACGTTGTCCGTGTAGGCTGTACGGCATTTTGTGAAGCTGTTTTGTTCATGGATGTTGGCTCGCTACAATATAATTGCACCGCATATATACGCATCCGGTTTACTTATTTTCAGATACGGTACCGCGGCTGAGCGGTTGCTTTAAAGCTGGCGGTTGTAAACTAGTTGCGCCGCCGACATAAGCTGCGCGGTATTTCGTGAAGCTGGCCTCTTTACATGCATCGGCTCGCTAACCGATTTTCGCCAGACGACAACATCTCGGCACATCAACGGTTGTTCATCACCCTCGATGGCTATTCATCGCCATCCTCGTCTGCACGTCCTACACGATATAAGGTCAGTCCACATTGCAAAGCAGTAGCAATGAATAGAAACGACGAATAGCAGTGAGTAAAAACGATAGCAAGAATAGCAAGGAATAGAAACACAACGCGCACCGAAGTGTGATGCGCAACACAACCTGACCCGCGGGACGGTTTGCGCGGTCGGTCGCATTCGCTGGGTCGTGTACCGCGTTTTTTTTATTTCGATTGAGGCCGCCCACCGCACCATGCGCGTCATGTCTCGCCTCGTCATGCTTCGTCGTGCTATATCACCGTGCTAACTCTGCCACCGTGTTGGAGCCGCAGTCGCCGGCTCGATCCCGGCGCCCCTGCGTTTTTGCCTTTTTTTTCATTCGGGAGCGCGCACCGCACCGTACCGCACCGCACCGCACCTGGGGTCGCGCAACGAGCCCTGGAGTATGGGCGTGGACCGCTTCGTTACGCACGCTAGCTCCATCACCGCGTGGGAGCCGCGGTCGCCGGCTCGATCCCGGCGCCTGCACGTTTTTTCCTATTTGTTCGTACGGGAGCGGGCACACCACTGTACTGCACCACACCGCAGCTGGGGTCGCACAACACGCTCCGGAGCATCGCCGCGCACCGCTTCATTGTGCATGCTAGCTCCAGCACTGGCATTCCACAGCATTCCTTCCATGGTCGAATGTCGTTGTGTCAGGTGGTGGTGCTGGTGCCGTGCACCAGTTTTCAACGGTAACAGTACCGCCTTACCACCACCAAGATAGAAGGTCGAACTACGTTTATCACGGCTCTGCAGGAATGACTCGTTCTTGCGTGTTCATCCACTTGCGCTGCCGTCCACTACACGTCGTCCAAGTTCGCTATGGCTTGCACCTTCCATGCAGGACCCTCGCCACTGGATGGCGTTAAATGCCAGCGTTGCACGGCTCTCTAGCCGTCCGACGACACGCCCGCACGGCTGGGTGCATCCCTTGCACTTGTGGGTTCGACTCCCACACGAGTGTAGTATATGCATGTATCGTCGTACTCGTGCCGCCCAGCCGGGGGACTACGGCCCCCTCGCGGGCGAACCAGCCCGCGTCTAGTCCGTGTCCGTTCGGAATTTCTGGAAAGTTGCCGTTTTTCGCCGTGTCGTTCGCGGTTTCGGAGCTGCACCTTTTAAGCTAGCTCCGTCGCCGCTTGGGAGCCGCGGTCGCCGGTTCGCGCCCCGCCGTCGTCGCTTTTTTTCGTTTTTTCGCACCGCGCGGCACCGCAACGCACCGCACCGCACCACACCTGGGCCCGCGGAACACGATCCGAAGCATGGCCGTGCGCTGCTTCGACGGGCGCGCTAGCTCCGACGCCGAATGGGAGCCGCGGTCGCTGGTTCGATCCCGGCGCCGGCGCGTCTTTTTGTCCTTTTTTACGTTATGGATCGCTAGCTTCGTCGCCCGGCGCCCGCTTTCTTATATTTTTCGTTCGGGAGCGCTGCCTTCGTCGTCGCGTGGTTCGTTTTTCGCGTCGTCGTCGTTTATTGTTCTTTTCTTTTCGTTCTGGACCGTGCACCGCACCGCGTCGTCCCGGACTGCACCGCTCCACGCCTGGGCCCGCGCAATGCGCCCCCGAGCATCGCTGTGCACCGCTTCGGTGTCCGTGCCGCACCGCACCGCACCGCATTGCACCGCACCGCGCCACACTGCGCCACACTGCGCGGGCAGTGCATCGCACCGCACCACACCTGGACCCGCGCAATGCGCCGTGGTGCATCAGGGCGCACCGCTTGTGGTGTGCGCTAGGTCCAATGTCGAATGGTAGCCGCGGTCGCAGGCTCGACCCGGCACCCTCTCATTTTTTTGTTTTTTTCATTTGGGACCGCGCACCGCGCCGCACCGCACTGCACCGCACCGCACAGCACCACGATTGAACGCGCAAATCGATAAACATTGGCCGCACCGCACTGCGCAATTTGACATGTGCCGACTCGCGCGTTTTAACGCGCAACCCACCACACAACTCGACATGCAATTAAACGTGCAATTCAACGCGCAATTTAACGTGCACTGAACGACGCAATTTGACGCGCACTGAAGTGTGCAGTGCTTGTCCAACGTTGTCCGCGTAGGCTGTACGGCATTTTGTGAAACTGTTTTGTTCGCGGATGTTGGGTCGCTACAATATAATTGCACCGCATATATACGCATCCGGTTTACTTATTTTCATATACGGTACCGTGGCTGAGCGGTTATTTTAAATCTGGCGGTTGTAAACTAGTCGCGCCGCGAACATAAGCTGCGCGGTATTTCGCGAAGCTGGCCTCTTTACGTGCATCGGCTCGCTAACCGATTTTCGCCAGACGACAACATCTCGGCACATCAACGGTTGTTCATCGCCATCGATGGCTATTCATCGCCATCCTTGTCTGCACGTCCTACACGATACAAGGTCAGTCCACGTTGCAAAGCAGTAGCAACGAATAGAAACGACGAATAGCAGTGAGTAGAAACTATGCTATAGCAAGAATAGCAAGGAATAGAAACGCAACGCGCACCGAAGTGCGATGCGCAACACAACCTGACCCGCGGGACGGTTTGCGCGGTCGGTCGCGTTCGCTGTCGTGTACCGTGTTTTTTTTTATTATTTTGTTTGGGGCCGCGCACTGCACCGTGTGGGTCATGTCTCGGCTCGTCGTGCTTTGTCGTGCTATGTCATTGTGCTAGCTCCATCACGGTATGGGAGCCGCGGTCGCCGGCTCGATCCCGGCGCCTATGCGTATTTTCCTTTTTTTTGTTCGGGAGCGCGCACCGCACCGTACCGCACTGCACTGCAGCTGGGGTCGCGCAACGCGCCCCTGAGCATCGGCGCAGACCGCTTCGTTGCGCACGCTAGCTCCATCACCGCGTGGGAGCCTCGGTCGCAGGCTCGATCCGGCGCCTGCACATTTTTATCTATTTTTTCGTTCGGGAGCGCGCACCGCACCGTACCGCACAGCACCGCAGCTGGGATTGCGCAACACGCTCCGGAGCATCGGAGTGTACCAGGTACATATCTAATGTATGTTTAGCTCTTCGTCAGGAAAATCGCTGTCTTCGATTTGATTTGAAGCACGCAATGATTTGATTTGAAGCACGCAATTCAACACGCACCGAAATGTGCAACCAAACGTGCACTGGTGCACGCAATTCAATGCACCGTGCAATGTGCAGTTCAAGGAAAGCCGTACACGCAATCCAACACACAGTACAACGCGCAATTACATGTCTTAAGCGTGTACGGCATTCCTTCCGTGGTCGAAGGTCCTTGTGTCAGGTGGTGGTGCTGGTGCCGTGCACCAGTTTTCAACGGTAACGGTACCACCTTACCCTACCTTACCGGCATAGCATAGCATAGCATAGCTATGCTATGTCCTATGCCGTACATGCTATGCTATGCTATGCTACGCTACGCTATGCCATGCTGCACTACGCTATGCTATGCCGTACACGCTACGCTATGCTGTGCCGTACGCGCTATGCTATGCCGTACACGCTATGCTATGCCGTACGCGCTATCGTACACGCTAAGCCATACGCGCCGTACGCGCCGTGCGCGCTATGCCGTACGCGCCGTACGCGTTGTGCCGTATGCGCCATACGCTGTACGCGCCATACACCGTACACTGTACGTGCCATGCCGTACGCGCCATGCGCCGTACGCCGTACGCGCTATGCCGTACGCGTGTTCTACTTTGCGCGTGGAACTCTCCGCATTAAAACTTACAACATGACCGCGTGTAGCATCTATTCTGCCATATGCGCCGTACGCGACATGCCGTAGGCGCCGTACGCGCTGTGCCGTACGCACCATACGCCGTACGCGCTATACGCCATACGCCGTACGCGCCATACGCCATACACCGTACGCGCCATACGCCATGCGCCGTACGCGCCATACGCCGTACACCGTACGCGCCATACGCCGTACACCGTACACGCTATGCCGTACGCGTGTTCTACTTCGCGTGTGGAACTCTCCGCATTAAAACTTACAACATGACCACGTGTAGCATGACCGCGCCGTACGCGCCGTACGCGCTATGCCGTACACGCTATGCCGTACATGCTACGCTATGCCGTACACGATATGCTATGCTATGCCGTACGAGCAATGCTATGCTGTGCTATGCCGTACACGCTATGCTATGCTATGCTATGCCGTATGCGCTTACGACAGCACCACAGCACCGTGCAACGCGGTACGGCCCCCTCGCGGGCGAAGCAGCCCGCGTCTAGTCTGACCGTCTGTCCGTCCGTCCGGGTGGCCGCTTGCTGTTTTCGCGTTTTTCGGGGTGTGGTCCGCGGTTTCGGAGCCGCGCCTTTTAGGCTAGCTCCGTCGCCGCGTGGGAGCCGCGGTCGCCGGTTCGCGCCCCGCCGTCGCCGCTTTTTCCGTCTTCCTGCGTTCGGCGCCCCGCGCCGCACCGGATGACGTCTATGGATGGCACCGCACCGCACCAGACCTGGGCCCGCGGAAGGTGCCCCGGAGCATGGCCGTGCGCCGCTTCGTCGGGCGCGCTAGCTCCGACCTGGAGTGGGAGACCGCGGTCGCCGGTTCGATCCCAGCGCCGGCGCGTTGTTTTGTCGGCACGTTTTTTTCTCCTACCTATTTTTCGTTCGGGAGCGCTCCCCACCGTCTAGTCTGCACCGCGCCGCACCGCGCGCACACCGCACGCACACCGCACCGCACCGCACCCCTTACATATTCGCTACGAAGTCGTGCGTATACATCCTTTTATTAGCGCGAAATCTCAGCTATCCGCGTGTTTACCAGCATCCGTTTCTGCTTCGGTTTCGCTAGACACGGCCGCAATCACGCGAATTGGCAGCAATCCGCGTCATCACCTAAGCATGTCTGTCTTTGCTGTACTGTATAACTCTACTCCTGTTTCAGAGCCGTTAAAGGCCACCGCAATCGCGCGAGTTGGCAGCTGGACCAGCATGCGCGTCCAATGTCCGTGTCTGCCGATTTCTGCTTCGGTTTCACTAGGCGCGGCCGCAATCACGCGAATTGGCAGCAATCCGCGTCATCACCTGAGCACGTCTGTCTTTGCTGTATGACTCTACTCCTGTTTCGGAGTCGTTAAAGGCCCCCGCAATCACGCGAGTTGGCAGCTGGACCAGGCTCGCAGCCGTGGCGCGTGCACGTCCAATGTCCGCGTCTGCCGATCCTCGGACATCTGTCATCTATACGACACGCTGCTGCGGAGGATGTATAATTGTTAGCGCGCCGATTCCTCCCCACTTATCCTGCAGTCTTCAGACGCACCTCTTTGCAAGCCTGCCTACTCCAAGTGTCTCCACCGCTTTCAGACAGACCTGTTGATTCTCTGTCACTCGCAGCCAGATGGATTCGCCGGATGCCAAGCGGCAACGCCTGGACCCTACCTCGTCCTACAATCTGCGATGCCGCACCCTGGTGACCAGCAGGTCGGTTTGCGTTGCTCTAGTGCGTAAATACGCTGTTCGCATCCCTTGCGTTGCATTGTTCCGTGTTCTCCGTTGCTGCGTCCCGTGTTTTGCGTTATGCGTTATGCGAAACTTATCCGATCCCATCTCCTGACTTTCTACACCTTCGACCAACTTCCGCAGTAGTATCGACCCACCGGACGCCAAGCGCCAGAGGCTGGACACGGCTGCGTCGCAGAGCAGCACGTCGACGGTCGGCCCTCCCGTCGTCGCCACGTAAGCAAGCTGCTACGTGCAAAGAGCGCGTTGACACCAGTAAGGTACTTACGCGTCCGACTTTGTGCCTCCACCTCTCACCGTGCGAAATAGACGCACTTCTCCTTGTACATGTTTTGTGTTGCTATTTATTTAGGATGTATGTATATTGCGTGTCTAAGCAAGTGCTTCACGGCCGCGATAAATAGTCTGTATTACCGGTGTTCATCTTGCTGCTTATTATTTATCAGCTCCGGCGCGCATATTTGGGCGCTGCCTGTTAAGCACAGATGTCTTCCGTCACGTTCATCGCCGCTCGCGTGCACCTTGAATATCGTGTAACGCTCCCCATTTGACGCCTCTTTGCAACACGTAGGGATTCAAGGAGCGTCGCGTTTCATGTGACGTTTACGGCCGGCCCCACAGAAACGAATGAGGACCGCCTCTTTGCCGGCGCCCAGAGCCGCTACGGCAGCTTCATCGCTGGCGTGAATACCGCCGGCCAGGGGATAGTAATCATGCAGATTGACGATGTCATCCTCAGCAGGCTGGAGAGCAGCCACGCGTTCGGCCACCGCGTGACGTTCGCCAACATGGATTCAGCTTCCCTGCCGCCTTTCATAACTTCTCGTTTCGCTGGGGTGACGGTGGGGCAGTTTAAAGTCTCCTCAGCGACGCGGATTTCCGTGGAGCCCTCCTCCGCTGTCCCAATGCTCTACAGCGCCAGGCTTCGGTTCCCCGCTTACGATGTCGGCAGCGACAGGGCCCGCCCCGAAGACAAGCACGCGTCGGATGGCAGCGCCCTCCTGCTCATCCCACACGGCGGGATGTTCCGGGGCGGGCCGTTCTGCAAGTTTAAGGCGTGGGTCGCGTGCGGCAACGGTGACAGTCCCGACGCCGGACGCGTGGAGCTCGCCATCAGGGAGTCCGCTCCCGACGACTTCGTCGCTCAGCTACAAGCAGCGGCCGATAGCAGCACGCCCCTTTACGTGTATGGTGCCAAGATCAGCCCCTCCAATAACAAAGCTTATATGAATAGCGTCTTCCTCAGCGGCTCGCTTGTAGCAGCAGCGAGTGCCCCCGGCAAACGCCCTCCCAAACGAGTGCACACCTTCCAGGCGGCTGTTCAGCGAACTACCACGGCCACCGTGCCCGCCGACACAACTGATATGGTATTGGCTTGGGAGCAGCGTAGCCGCAGTGCCCTTGTTTTACCGTCGGATGGTCCACACGCCTCGGCCACCCTGTCACCCAACCCCACTTCTGTCACTGTAGTCGGCTCACTACCGGTCCTCCCGCTCGTCCTCACAGTCGGCAGCCGCAGTTATCCGGTGTGCACCGACAGCATCGCCGTCATGCAACAGTTACCGAACTACGACGAGTTCTTCGGCAGCGCCAGCTTCGCAGACGATAATGATCGTATGGCATACACTGCTTACGACTCATTCACCGTCACCGGTACCATCACCACCAAGACAGAAGGTCGAACAATGTTTATCACAGCTCTGCAGGAATGACTCGTTCTTGGGTATTCGTCCACTTGCGCTGCCGTCCACTACACGTCGTCCAAGTTCGCTATGCCTTGCACCTGTCCCCTCCCTTCACTCCCATCTAGCCGCCCCTGGATGGCGTTAAATGCCAGCGTTGAGCGGCAGTCTAGCCGCGCAACGACACACTTGCAGGGCTGGGTGCATTCTGTGCACTTGTGGGTTCGACTCCCACACAAGTTGGCGGCGTCCCTCGCACCTACACTGGTGAGTATATGAACGGTATAACCGGTTTCGCTGGTATAATTTAGGGTCTTCAAGCACGAGTGCTGTACCATGTTGACATTCGTACGTGTCTCACTCGTATCCACCTCTTGCCGCTTCTTGCCGCTCTCCCTGCAGCATGCTCTGCTGTGCGCATGCCACTCGTGTACATGATGCTTGGACATAACGAATTGGACGTAACGAGTTCCGGGCTTGTCTCCTCGCGACCTTCACACTGTCGTGCAGGTTCGCATGTGTTGAAGCTGCTGCTCCGGCAAGCCTTCACGCTGTTCTCTTCGGTGGCTTCCAGTAGGCGCGGTGAGTGTGCGTTATGATGCAACCCACGTGTATGTGCGTCGGCACATTACCGCTTGTCCGTCACACCACACCGTGTCGGCAAGTGTACGACATGCATTGTTTTGCATGAACTCGTTCTGTGTCGGTTCTCTTTTTTATTTACATACGTCCTTTACTGCGACATAGCGACTCGTCGTTGTGACGATGTCCACGCAGACGTGTGCATGATGTC